GTGTGTGTGTGTGTAGTGTGTGTGTGTGTAGTGTGTGTGTGTGTGTGTGTGTGTGTGTGTGTGTGTGTGTGTGTGTGTGTGTAGTTTTGTGTGTGTGTGTAGTGTGTGTGTGTGTGTGTGTGTGTGTGTGTGTAATGGTGTGTAGTGTGTGTGTGTGTGTGTGTGTGTGTGTGTGTGTGTGTGTGTAGTGTGTGTGTGTGTGTGTGTAGTTTTGTGTGTGTAGTGTGTGCTCGTGTGTGTGTGTGTGTATAATAATAATAATAATAATAATAATTAACGGGTTATTGAAAGAGCTTGGCAGCCAGAAGGCTGAAAATATACAGTTACATATTTGGGGAATGGGTTACGAATTACAAATAATATACAAGTAACATAAGTGACACAAATAAGACATATAATAACTAGATGGGAGAAGGTCATACTACAGGGCATTTCAACATAGTGACAGTGTAAGGAGTAGTGTTTACTGGGAGTGAATACACTGATTGATTACAAGTTATTGATAATTTTTACAATGGTTGGGACTGGGCTGTTCTTATAGCGATCAGTTCGTGCTCGTGCAATTATCGGGCTAGGGATCTCAGGTGGTAGTAGGAGCCGGTGTCGAGGATGGTGTAGAAGCTTCTTACCAAATTTGCAGATGAGGTCGTGGTGATGGTCAGTGAGAGCTGAGTGGGTCAGTGTGTTGAGCGCTTCTGGAGTAGGAAGGGGAGAGAATAATCTTGCATGCCCTCTTTTGCACTTTTTCTCGGTGTTTACGTTGTGTGGCATTTAGGGAGGAAGACCAGGTGGGGGAGGCATAGGTGAGCTTGGGAAGTATGAATGTTGTGTAAACGCTGAGGAGCTCGGGGGCAGGAACTCCGAGGGACTTGAGTCGGCGGAGGAGGTGGAGACGGAAACTGGAGGATTTGACAACTTCACTGACGTGTGGTTTCCGATTTAGTTAGTTGTCTATGGTGACGCCGAGGAGCTTAGTGTAATCTACAACCTGGAGTGTGTTGGGACCTAGAGTAACGGAAGGAGGTGGGACAATGTCGGAGGAGAGGTTTATGTGCATAACCATGGTCTTGGTATGGTTGATGGTGACGTGGTTGTGTGTGTGTTATACCACAATCTCCCTCACATGTCACTTGGTATCAGAGGTTGTCATTGGTTGGTAACGAAGGTTGTGATTGGCCAATAATGATGAATTTCCGGCAACTATCTCTAAATATGTGTTCTCTCTCTTTCTCTCTCTCCCTCCTTCTAGCCCGACCAACCATAACCCAGCTACTGAACAGACCGCCAAATTACTAATCTTGTAAACAGAACATAAATAAAATGTTTAAAGTGATCGAACAACACAGAACGGATTAATTAATGAATATATTGACGGTTTACTGAATATTTATCTTGAGGGCGGATCCCGGAAGCACTTAATAATTGCTTTGTTCGGTGGTAAAAATTATAGTGGTAATTGGGCAGTGATAATATTTAAGCAACAGTAATAATAATAATAACAATAACAACAATAATAAAATAATAATAATATTTCCCGTATTTAAAACCATTAAAATTTTTGGTGCATATAAAGGAGCAATTGACTATATGAATTCCTTTAAGTTTATTTTGTATGTCTCTGCCACTCTGTATATCTGTCTTTTAAGTGATATAAAGGGCGTTTTTTGTGGTGATGGATTAGCTGATATATATAACGGCGAATCCAGGAATTTTCTAAGTGGGTGAGGGGGGGTTGGGGCGGTAGGCTTGAAAAGTATACTCGGTAAAACTTTTCCCTTTGTATTTTTTCCCTACATTTGCTGTTTTATTATTATTGTTATTTATTTATTATTATTATTATTATCGTCATCATATTTATCCAATTTTGTACCGCATTTAATTATAAAAAATAACCACATTCATCAGTTATCATACATAGTACCCTGACCCTGGCGGAGTTATCTTACTACATCTGCTGACTCACGAATGATAACAAAATTGCAATCAACACTACCAAAGATTTCTAGATTTAATATTGTTCCTTACTGGTAGTGAGAGAACTTTCAGGTTGTAACGTCACTTAGAGATCTCTTTCCATTGGGGCTTGTTACTAGTATTTGAGGAAATTGGTATCCACATCAAAATCTTGCCTGTAATGCCTTGTACCTGAATCTTGAGAGGCTAGATGTGTATAAAGCTGGTTTCATGCTTTCTGGGACTATGAATTCCCTTTCAAGCTGACTACTTTCCTTTGACGATAATTTCTGTAATTGCTGTATCTCTCAATACGTTATCTTAAGTACTGGTGTGTTATCCTGTTATCTATCGTCTCGTGTAGGAATACTGATGCCGGGTATTCTTACTTATTACTACTTTACTGTCACTGGTAATCGAGTATGACGATCATCCAGCTATGAGACAATGATATGAGTTATTAGGGATGTCACCTAGGTTGGTGAGTTCTGAGGTGACTAAAGAGGCCGATACGGGACCGGCAGGGTCGGTCACAGATGTTGCACGTGTGGAGGGCTACATCTAGTGCGGGAGGGGCGGCGGCAGCGTTTTTCCGGCGTTGGCGCTTGTCTGCCTCGGTTTGCAGTCGGGCTAACTCGAAAGTATTGACACCTTCTCGTGTGGTGCTCCTCCAAACGTTACGGTGTGGAGTAATCGTCTCCCAGGTGGGGGGGTCGATTTGCCACTTCTTCAGGTTTGTCTTAAGACTATCCTTATACCTTTTCAGTTGCCCGCCGGCGTTACGTTTACTATTCGTTAGGTGACTGTAAAGTAGCTGCTTTGGCAGTCAACTGTCGTCCATGCGAGTAACATGGCCAGTCCAGTGTAGTTGTTCGTGGATAATGGTAGCCTCGATGCTCCTACAGTTGGTGTCAGCGAGAATACTGGCATTTGTTCTGTTGTCTTCCCAGCGAACTTGGAGGATGGAATGTAGACTACGTTGGTGAAAGATTTCAAGTGCCTTGAGGTGCCTCCTGTATGTGACCCATGTCTCACTGCCATGTAGCAGGGTGGGGAGGACCATTATTGTGAGGCAACTCCACGATGTCCTGCACAATGGTACCCAGTGAGAGTTCTTCTCCATCCAAACGGGGGTTAAACAAGGGTGTGTACTGGCACCAACTCTCTTTTCCATTTTCTTGGCTGCCTTCTTTACTCTTGCCAGGGTCAATTTAGCCGGCGGGGTGGACATAAAGTACCGGGTGAAGGATCTTTTCAACATAAGACGACTCCTGGCAAGAACAAAGGTGTCGGCAGCTTCCATTACTGAACTTCAGTATGCAGACGACCTCACCCTTGTCGCTCACACTGAACACAACCTACAGGAGATCCTGAACACCTACACAGATGCGTACACACACTTCAGCCTTGAGGTGAATGTACGTAAGATTCAGATTCTCTCTCAACCTGCCACCTGTCCACCACCGCGGACATCGATGAAGAGATTCAGCACCGGATCAGATGTGAATCTCAAGCCTTTGGCAGACTCTGAAACCGTGTCTTCAGCTGTAGGGAGCTGAAATTATCTACAAAGGTGCATGTACAGTATATCGAGCAGAGATGAATTTTGGTGGGCAGCAAGGACGGCTGAGGGTCCACCAGAGGGCTTCCCTGTTGACCGAGTCGAAGGCCTTGGTTAGGTCGATGAAGGCCATGTACAGGTCACGACGCTGTTCTCTACACACACACACACACACACACACACACACACACACACACATATTAAAACATGGTATATTTTCTGTATGGTGTTGGAATCATTGCGTTTTTGAAGTCTTTGTCACTACAGATTGTGTGTTTGTTGGTCAAGCGGAAATAGGTCTGAGGGGGAGAGATAAGGCGTGTGTGTGTGTGTGTGTGTGTGTGTGTGTGTGTGTGTGTGTGTGTGTGTGTGTGTGAAAGAGAGAATTTGTATGATGACTTAACCCCTTGAGTATGATGATTTAACCCCTTGAGTATGATGATTTAACCCTTGAGTATGATGATTTAACCCTTGAGTATGATGATTTAACCCTTGAGTATGATGATTTAACCCTTGAGTATGATGATTTAACCCTTGAGTATGATGATTTAACCCTTGAGTATGATGATTTAACCCTTGAGTATAATGATTTAATCCCTGAGTATGATTATTTAACCCTTGAGTATGATGATTTAACCCTTGAGTATGATGATTTAACCCTTGAGTATGATGATTTAACCCTTGAGTATGATGATTTAACCCTTGAGTATGATGATTTAACCCTTGAGATAATTTAACCCTTGAGTATGATGATTTAACCCTTGAGTATGATGATTTAACCCTTGAGTATGATGATTTAACCCTTGAGTATGATGATTTAACCCTTGAGTATGATGATTTAACCCTTAAGTATGATGATTTAACCCTTGAGTATGATGATTTAACCCTTGAGTATGATGATTTAACCCTGAGTGATGACTTAACCCTTTGAGTATGATGATTTAACCCCTGAGTATTGTGATTTAACCCTGAGTATGATGATTTAACCCCTGAGTATGATGATTTAACCCTTGAGTATGGTGATTTAACCCTTGAGTACGATGATTTAACCCTTGAGTATGATGATTTAACCATTTTAAGGCTTGTCTTCATCCTCCCCATTTTACTATGCCTCTTCCTTCTCCTGCTTCTCAGTGCCACGCGATGCTCTTTTGTTGTCAGATCCTCCTTTCACCCTCCCCTCTCCTCCTCCTCTAGCCCTACCCCCCTTCCCCTCCTCTCCCCCCCTCTAAACCCCGCCTCTTTTGCTCTTCCTGTGGTGATCTCTTAGTGCCAACGACAGTGCCAACGTGACCCTGTGCCCATCAACATTCTCTCTCCTCTTCTCTCTGTCCGCACCACGATTCGTTTTTGTTTTTTTTTTGTCCCATCTGAGGTTGTCGACGCATAACCTAACACTAACCTAACGTATCCTAACCTTACACTAATCTAACACTAACCTAACACTAACCTCACGTATCCTAACATTAACCTAATCGAACACTATCCTAACCCTAACCTAACTTTACCTAACCTATGAGATGGTTTGAGTCAGTGAGTGAGTTGGAACCTGATCATGTCCATTCAAGTGAGCCAATCCAGTACACCCACTGAGGACACCTTAGCCACGATAACTACGCCCTCTACACCCTCGCAGGATACACCCACTGGGCCTTCTACACCCTCCACGTCCACTGAAGAGGTTTCTGGTCAGTGCGTTACGGTCATACTTAAAAGACCGAAAGATCAACAGGTTGGGACCACAGGATGTAAGTTACTGGATTCCCAAGTTCCAGGCAGCTGCATTTTGGAAGACCAGATTCCAGGCAGCTGCATTTCGGAAGACCAGATTCCAGGCAGCTGCATTTTGGAAGACCAGATTCCAGGCAGCTGCATTTCGGAAGACCAGATTCCAGGCAGCTGCATTTCGGGAGACCAGATTCCAGATAGAAGCATTTCAGAAGCACAGATTCCAGGCAACTGCATTTCGGAAGACCAGATTCCAGGCAGCAGCGGAAGCAACAGAAGCACACAAGACCACTTTCCAGGTAGACCAATGACATGTACAGGTATGGCTGGTCTTGAAGAATGGACCGACTCAGAGCAGCCGTGGTACACCTTCTTATATTCTCCCGTGTCACTGGAACACTCGCCTCCGGATAATGGCGTACCGGAGGGTGGTAATATTCCCGGCAGATATTGCGAGGTCAGTGCTCAATATCACCCACCTTATGAAGAAGAGGTAATGGGTACTGATGCCTTGCCTTCTGAGCCTCCTGGAGTCCTACCAACATCCCCGGCTATATCGTGTGGAGTCCTACCATCATCCCCAAGAACACCACCCACAGTCCTATCCAACACCCAGGCAATGCAAAATCCTGAAATTCAACACAATTCATTTTACTCATTTAGTACCCCAGACTCTGTGATGGAACCTCCCTTCTCGGTTAAGATGGAGGATAGGGTGTTGACGGGAGGGATAGATATGGGAAAGGAAGGGACGGAAGGTGGTGATGGGATGACGGAAGGTGATGGTGAAGCCTGGGTGGTTGCTGATGGTGGTCAACCTTGTGTTTGGCCTATAAAGTTGAATCCTTGGTATGGTTCACAGCATTCAAGGTAAGTGTGTCTGTGTGTCTGTCTGTGTATGTCTGTCTGTCTGTCTGTGTATGTCTGTCTGTGTGTCTGTCTGTCTCTGTGTCTGTCTGTCTATCTAAATTTTGTTTATACCTGAACTGTCTAGGTACATTGTTTATATACCTACACTGTCATGGTTAAATCATCATACTCTCGGGGTTAAATTATCATACTCAAGGGGTTAAATCATCATACTCAAGGGGTTAAATCATCATACTCAAGGGGTTAAATCATCATACTCAAGGGGTTAAATCATTATACTCAAGGGGTTAAATTATCATACTCAAGGGGTTAAATCATCATACTCAAGGGGTTAAATCATCATACTCAAGGGGTTAAATCATCATACTCAAGGGGTTAAATCATCATACTCAAGGGGTTAAATCATCATACTCAAGGGGTAAATTATGTTAAAAATTACAGTAATAAATGACATATCAAAACATAAGTATACTTGTCTCCTGTTAAAATACCAAGGTTAAAAGTCAGCGTCAAAATAACATCCTCTCTCTCTCTCTCCCCAGAGTGTGGAAATAGTGTACTTGTTTATACATACATACATACATACATACATACATACATACATACATACATACATACCGTAGGAAGACAGACACACAGACGGACAGATAATTAGATAGACAGACAATCAGACAGACAGATAATTAGATAGATAGACAGATAGACAGATAATTAAATAGTTAGACAGACAAAAACAGACAGACAGACAATCTCAACACTGGTTAGTAATTAAATTAAACTCCACCAGTGTTAATTTAATTTAATACTAATATATATTTAAGTTAAATTCCCCGGTTAATAGAATTTGATTTATGTTAAAATTTGATGAGTTGTGAATGGTGTTGTTATTGTTTTACGCGGGCACAGGTCACTGACCCACTTCAGGGCCTGGGGGCGAAAATACAACAACAACAACAACAACAACAACAACAACAACAACAACAACAACAACAACAACAACAACAATAATAATAATAACAATAATAATAATAATAATAATAATAATAATAATAATAATAATAATAATAATAACCACAAATAAATGCAAAAATGAAAAAAAAATCAACAGTGAGAAACAATATATGTATGTTGTGTTGTCAATAGTCAGAGAAACAATTGAGACCTGCAATTGTGTGTAAATGAGGCAGAGAGTCAGATCATCAACCTGGGACTTGGTCACATATGGCAGGAGGGTCTACCATTAGACAACACATTATGCTACCATTATCTTCCCAGTACTCCTCTGTTTGGTAACTGTCTACTAGA